TGCGTATAATTCTAGTGTGGTTTATCCGTTTGAAACCAGTTGTGTAATCTTGGGGCGCAGATTCATTCATAGTTTTCCCACTGATTTGAAAGGGACGAGATGGCAAAGCAGAGTTACTGTTTTTCAAAAGTTATTTTTTTTTTAATATATATATATATTAAAATAATATTTTTTATTTTTTTAATTATTTTTAATATTACAAAGAAAGAAAAATAGTATGGGATTTTAACTCCGGAATTGTTATATAAGGATTATTGTAGATTGTGATAGTGTAATTTATTTGAGTTTGATGTGTATTGAAAAGGATTATGAAGATGTTTTAGTATTTTATATTATTTTTTTTTTTATTTGAAAAGTTGTTCAGGTATGTTTTACATGTCCCAATAAGTAGTGACACTTGTACAATTAGAGAAGCACATGAGATGCCTTTCAGTAGCCAAATCTAGCCCTTTATCATCTAGATAGATGAGCAAACGTACCGTTTATATATAGTTCGATGCATGTCGTGATATTTTGGTTGGATTGTTATTGATGATTAATTATTTGTATTTTTTTTTAACAACTAAAATATACAATTATCCTCTATTTATTTGTAATTTGCTTGCATTTGATAATAATTATCAGATCTAAATACCTTGCATTTAAAAAACATGTCAAACTCAAACTATTTGGATTTAGATACAATATCAGACTTAAAATAATTAGATTTAACAACCTTGTTTAGTGTTAGATCCAAGAGTTGGCTAACAGCCATGTTTGGTGTCATGTCCAAGTCCATGAGTTTGGCTTAATTACTAATTTTAAGACATTTAAAATATTTTTTAATATTTTTTTACAAAATTATTATTAAGTCACTGCCAATGAGATAAAAATATACTAGCAAACATAATAAAACAATATAAAATATATTAAAATAATTAATTTTAAATAAATGTTTTTAAATTTTAAACAAACAATATTTTAACCGACGCAGTGACAAACACGTGCAAAGTGGCCTCAAATTCTAGAAACAAGCAGTGAGGTTAGTCCAGCACAATGTCATCGGTGTAAACAAAGTCAAGCCTCCAAATCTGACTCCAAAGATATAATGAAGAAAACGAGGACCCAAAGTTTGTAGGATTGGAGGAGGCAGTTTGGGGTTGGATGGTTCTCGCGGACAAAACAAGGATCCAAGTTCAACCGAAGTTGACAAAATTGCAAGCCATGAAGACTTGGGATTGAGGCTTTTTAACCTTTGACTTGAGATGTTTTAAAGCAAAAACAAGGAGTGTTCAGTAAAAAGGCTAACTAAGTTATTGCGCAAAAACATGGCATCCAAACCATCAAGTCTTGGAAGCTCCCTGCTTGTGCCCTGTGTTCAAGAATTGGCCAAGGATCCTTTGGTCGCTGTTCCACCAAGATACCTCCGTTATGACCAAGAACATCCCATCATTGCTAGTCATGATCCGGTATCTGAGGTTCCGGTTATTGATATGCAGAGATTACTTGATCAAGAAACGATGGATTCCGAATTGGGCCGCCTCCATCTCGCTTGCAAAACATGGGGTTTCTTCCAGGTACATCTTGTATACCCACTTTCATTTCTTGGGTTTTTTTTCTTCATCGAAATTTAACCCAAGTCGTGAAAATTGTCGTAGTTTTTATGAATGGACAAACCTTCTTTCGAGTTATTAGAGAAAGGAGCAAGAACAGGAAGAATATTTGGACACGTGAAGCTATAATTGAAACCGGGATTCTTATCAACTTACATATTCCGTTGTGAATTCTTTATGAACAATTTCACTCTCTGTTTTGTGGTTATAGCCAGAGAGACATGACATAGCAAGACAATCAGAAACAGGGGGCGGGTTCACTGAAAAAGAGCAATGGAAAAAGAACAATTCTGCTAAGCCTAGAATTGAACTTAATCGGGATCCTAATTGGGTACCCCATGAGGTCACCCTCCTATCATTATGGGCTGCGGCCTTATATTTTTAGGACCTTCATCCCACTATACCCGAAAGGATATGATAAAGAAGAAGAATAACAAGCAAGTTTTATTGTGTTGAATGTAATGAAGTATTAGAAATTTGTATGAATTGCTAAAATTTTGGGTCCTCGGGGAGATTATTAAGAAACTCAAGTGGTATAGTTAATGGCTCTTAGAAATACTGACATAATTAGTAATTAAACAGAGAACACTTTGTGATTTTGGCTTGGTATGCAGGCTGTAACATGTTCATGTGTATGTGAACAACATAGATCATATATTTTGTTTTCTTTATTTGGCATTTTGCGAGATGACTACCTTAGCAGATTGTTCCCCTATAATTCGTTATAAAAGAAGGCTAAATTGCAAGATTTTCCTTATTTTTGCTTAACCATGAACCTTTGGATTGTCAAGGCTACCTGGTTTCACCAATGTTTTCTATCTAGCATTAATTTTTATCCTTTCCATTTTTTCTACTTAGTTTGATCAGTTAGTTGTTGATCGTCATGAAGAGATCTGTCTTATCAGAGCTGACAAAATAGGATGGAGTTTAACTGATATATGAGAGATATATTGATAAATGACACTAAGTTTGTGATGATGATGCATTTAATCGGATGTGATTTATGCTTTTAATTAGTTTCTGTCTCTGATTTAGTTTTTCTCAAAAGTGGCATGAATGCTAGAAAAATTAGAGGTATCCTGTAACGTAGTTCAACAAAGGTTTTCTAACTATCATAAACTGCTATACAATTGCATTTTCTTTTTTCAGTTGGTAAACCATTGTGTAAGCTCTTCGTTGTTAGACAAAATGAAGACACAACTTCAGGATTTCTTCAACCTCCCAATGGAGGAAAAGAAAAAGTTCTGGCAGTATCCAGGAGAAATAGAGGGTTTTGGACAAGCTTTTGTTGTATCTGAGGAACAAAAGCTTGATTGGGGCGATCTGTTCTTCATGGTCACCCAGCCAGCTAATTTAAGAAAGCCTCACCTATTTCCAAAACTCCCTCTTCCTTTGAGGTCACATCTCTTGTTCATAGTTTATGCTTGTAATTTTTGTAAGTGGTTGCAGTAGCATTTCAGTAACAATTCAGCATGTCTCTGAGGTAACCTTCATTCTATGCAGAGACACCTTGGAGAGCTACTCCTTGGAAGTGAAAAATCTAGCGACTGCTATTCTTGAACAGATGGGAAAAGCTTTAAACATTAAAGCTGAAGAAATGAGAGACTTCACAGAGGGCATAAGACAATCAATGAGGATGAACTATTATCCGCAGTGTCCTCAACCAGAACAAGTTATTGGCCTTACACCTCATTCTGATGCCACTGGTCTCACAATTCTCCTACAAGTTAATGAGGTGGAAGGTCTGCAGATAAGGAAGGATGGGAAGTGGGTTCCCATAAAGGCACTTCCAAATGCTTTTGTTGTCAATGTTGGAGACATTTTGGAGGTAACAGATGTTTTACAATTTAAGAAAAGAACCTAACTGCAAATTCCAAGTAATAAACATTTAGTCAGCGGTCCATTGCTCTTGTAATTAGGAGAAGTTAATGTAGCTTAACTTACAGGTGGTAATTGAGAATTTACCGGCGTTGACATTAGGAACCTTCAAATTTTAAACATTAATTTTGTACATAACTTCGCTTGATAATGAAAGAAAGATGAATGGGCTATTTAATTCAGCTTTTGTACATTTATGTGGCAGATTGTAACCAATGGTGTGTATCGTAGCATCGAGCATCGTGCAACAGTAAACTCTAAGAAGGAAAGACTTTCAATTGCTTCATTCCATTCCCCGAGGTTTGATGGCAAAGTATGCCCAGCTCCTAGCTTGGTAACGGAACAAACACCAGCATTGTTTAAAGAAGTTACAGTTCAAGATTACTTCAAGGACCTGTTTTCTCGTGAGCTTCTAGGAAAATCTTATCTTGATACATTGAGAATACAAGATGGTCAAGCCTAAAATTTGGCCGAATTCTGTCCTATGAATATGTAAAATTTGTTATATAAGAGGTGCTTTGAAAGTTGTTTGAAATAAATGAGCTATAACTAGATAGTTCAGAAAATTTCTGTAAGACTTGCAATACTTTATGTAAAAACAGATATATGAAACATTATGTTGAATGGAATGACGAAAATGTGCTGTTGATTTACTGTTATGGAATCGGGACAACACTGTTATACTAACAATATGATAGAATTTGGAATATGAAGGCAGAAGATGCATTTATTTGCAATATTATGTGCTGAACTTCTTTAATTTTTAGTGCAAGATGGGATAAGTTTTCAGAATGCCTTTATTTGATAGCTTGTTTAAAAGGGAAAACATACATACATATACATATACATATATATATATAATGTTTGCTGTTGAGGATGTGTTGCCAGGCAATTTACAGATTGAGAGGGGAACTTTTCTGATATTGATTGGCAGATGAAACCCTTGAATTTTTTTTTCCCCTTAGTCCCATGTACTCGGCATGCGTGTATATGGAATCATTGATGCCTTCATGATGCCTTCGAATGGCTCTGGAGAAGAGTAAAACGTTCAACTAAGCTTCAAACCCAATCTAATTGGAGACTAGCGGGATTGATCTGAGAGAGAGAAACACAACACAAGGACTACTACTGACATGAGCTATCATTTAGAAATGGATAAGTTTGGCATTTACGTTTGTCTTAGCCAACCCAGTTGCCTAGTCCACAAACCAACGATGTTCCACTGCCATAGGATACTGCTTGATCTAGGAAGCTTAGCTTGCACCTGGTGAAGTTATACAAGAACTCAACTTACTATCATCCTTAACCAGATTTATATTATCATTATCCTTCTAGATACGTGATGCATTACCTGATTTTCTCTTCAGCTAGAAATTCAAATAGAACAGAAAGGCTAAAGTACTTACATATACAAATTGTATTGCCCTCGTATAATCAAGGAGCACTTTCTTTTGCACAATTACAGCGATGACAATGGACACATGGAGATTTTTTCAACTCCTTTTTCTTGCCTGTTTCACTTCTGTAGTTATGGCTTGCAATGATGATTTTATATCGGCTGTTGGTGATCCAGGGATGCGAAGGGATGGCCTTAGGGTGGCAATTGAGGCATGGAATCAGTGCAATGAGGTTGGAGAAGAAGCTGTCGACATGGGAAGTCCAAGAATGGCAGATTGCTTTGATGTTGACCATTCTACATCATCTGGTGAGAAATGTTTAGTACCTCTACATCTTTGCGCTTTTACTTACTATGAATGCAATTTTTTAATATATATCGCAAGAAAAGAACGCGAGGAACTAGTGGATTGTTTTTTATCTCCTTCTTCCTTTTATTTTATTTTAACCCTTTCAAATATTAAAGCCAAAGTTACGGATTCATTATAAGAGAAGCTTTGCATAATTAATATCAATATTTTTCTTAAAACCTTTTCTCTGCATAAACTATTTAACTTAAACTTGTAATCATGGCCGAGCAAACCCTATTAATCCTAATTAACAATGTAATTCTACTAATAGTATCTATTAATTACTTAGTCCACGTGTTTTTAGGGATAGAATATTTTCACCTATCACATTACTCGTTGGAATTTGACCATGCTCTCTGGGCTTCATGCATCTAGGTCAGTACATTTTCCTGTTTAGGAAAGGAGTGCAGACCATGCTCTCTGGGCTTCATGCATCTAGGTCAGATCATTCCGAGTTTTTATTTATTTATTTATTTATTTTTCCCTTAAATGACCAATACTAACAAAAAATTTTGGAGGCCCCTCAATTCCATGTTTCTGCATGTTACTAATTAACTAAAGAAGGACCAATAACGTGAGATAAAAATATGTTTTAAATTGTAATTCATTTGACAGACGTTTTGCATTTGATTCCCGAATAAACAACAAGATCTTTGAAATCATAGGATTATGTTTTCTGTGATAGGACTTTTTTGTTTGTATATGTTTGCTAAGCTCTTTTCCTTTCTTCTTTCCATGATTCTTGATGAAGTCAACTTAATTCACAAGGTGAGTGAGGATGAGAACAGGCTGGGCTTACTGAATGGTACCTACGGAAGAATAAAGGCCAGAAGTTACGACAGGTATGCGCCTAAGAAGCAGCTGTACTTGGGTAACAAATGCCAAGTAAAGGACTATCCGAAACCATGGCAATTCTGGATGATCATGCTCAAGAGTGGTAACATGGACACTTTAGCTGCTAGATGCCCCGAAAATGGTAAGAAATCAGAGCCCTTTGCACCGGAATCTCGTTTTCCATGCTTTGGAGAAGGGTGTATGAACATGCCCAAGATGTACCATAATTATACCGATGTGCATGGAAACAATACCTTGAGAGGAAGTTTTTATGGGACTTGGGATTTGGATGCTAATGTCAAGAGTGGAGTTGTCGACAACAGCACCTCTTATTTCAATGTCACTTGGCAAAAGGAGTTAGGGAAAGGAAGTTGGGTCTTTCATTTCTACTTGAAGACATCCTCAAAGTATCCATGGTTGATGCTATACCTAAGATCGGATGCCACCAAAGGATTCTCCGGTGGTTATCACTACCAAACAAGGGGCATGTCAAAAATAGTAAGTCAAGTTTTTTTCCCTTCGTTCTCCTCTCATACTCGTTCTTTTGAATTTTGGACTTTTCAATTGAAAATTGCAGATTCAAATTCTAAGATAAGTACACAATACACAGATTTTAACATCATTCTTGTCAAAACCCAATGATTAATCAATGTATCATACTTTCGAAACATTTCATATATTCATACAGGTGCCAAAGTCACCAAACTTCAAAGTAAAATTCAAGCTAAACATTACACAAGGAGGCGGACCAGGAAGCCAGTTCTACCTGATGGACATTGGGAGCTGTTGGAAAAACGATGGCAGTCCTTGCAATGGGGATGTCAGATCAGATGTCACTAGATACAGTGAGATGATCATAAATCCCGGAACAGAATCATGGTGCTCACCGGAGAAAGTCGCCGGTTGCCCGCCTTATCACATGTTTCCTAATGGAACAAGAGTTCATAGGACAAGCAATGCCAGCTTCCCCTTCGATGCATATCACATGTACTGTGCTCCTGGCAATGCTCTGCATCTTGAGGAGCCCTATAATTTATGTGACCCATACAGCAATCCTCAGCCCCAGGAAATATTGCAAATCATTCCTCACCCTGTGTGGGGTGATTATGGGTACCCCACAAAGAAGGGTGTGGGTTGGATTGGGGATCCAAGAAGTTGGGAACTTGATGTTGGGAGACTATCTCAATCACTTTACTTCTACCAGGTACATTCAGCACTGTCCTAGTCTTTCCTCTTCTTCTTCATATGAAGTTCATTCATGTCTTTTGTCATGGCGATGCAGGATCCGGGTACAAAACCTGTAGAGAGACACTGGCCATCCATCGACTTGGGAACTGAAATATACATAAGCAATGATCAAGTTGCTGAATGGACTGTTAGTGACTTCGACATTCTCGTACCAAAAGATCAGATTCACTGATCAGTTCGTTTCTTATCATATCAGAAGTTTCAACTATTTATCCTGAGAAGGATGGATATATAGCTGGTTAGATTATTATTTTTTTCCCTAGTAGGAAAAGAAGAGGAGTTCAGAGATGATGATAGCTAGAAGAGGCCTTCTGCTGCCTGGATTTTCCTGAACATCAAGTAGTTTTCTTATCACATCAACTGCTGAATTATTCAGTTATTATTTTGGGATATATATTGTTGTTATTATTATCATTGATTTCACTAATCATATGGATTCACTCAATCGTAAAATCGTGCTCGTTGCCTAATGCCAATTTAAGCCTTTTTTATTTTCCACTAGTCAGACGTTTGGCGCACGCATGTTTTGCACCTAATTCATGATGATTTTTATTTACAGGAATGAGTCAGTAAATTCATATTATAAATTAAATAATCAATTAGACTTACAAATTGGAATTTGATCCTCATCATTAATCTTCTAATAATCCAAAGTTTACGACAAAACTTCCACTATTTACATTTAAATCCCCAAACAAATCAAAATTGTTTTCAAAACGAAGCAGACGGATCATATGCTCCCTAAAATGGAAAACAAGAAAGCGTGAAAATGTAGAAAGGGAAATAAAGAAAGAAAGAGATTCTCCATTTCTCTTGTTTGCAATTGCGACTTGTAAGTATGGCCATGTCTCCACTCCTCGAGGATGATACCACGTTGTTTGACGTGAACCTGGATCGCACAAGCACCAGCGAAGGTGGTGGTTATGAGCCAATTCCTGCCTCCAAAACACAATCCGAGAAACCACCCCCATGTACACTTTCCCTTCAATTGACCCTTTTTACGTTTTTTGTTTTCTGTAATGCATGTGGTCTTGTATGTGATCTTTATAAATTAACTGCTAACTAATTTAAGATTGCGTCAGAGATTTGTAATGTTTGTGTAAAAACACGTTTTAATCATGAGCAACCGAGGTTGCTAAAAATATAGAATTGTTTCTTCATTGCTGCAGATTCTAGATTCACACAACAGGAGCTTCCTGCTTGCAAACCAATCATAACTCCGAAATTAGTATGGTTACATCGTATTCTACTTTATTTTTCTATTTTGAATAATGCCCATTTCCTTCCTTTAGATTTTCAATAAGAATATTTTTTGTAATTGTATTGTTTATATGGGATTCAGGTCATTGCAGCATTCACTTTTATCGGTATTGTCTTCTTTCCTATCGGTATAGCAGCCTTGTCTGCATCAAACGAAGTAATATAATCTAATCCTTCCATTATCTTGGTTACTGCAAGGTTGTTTTTGGTTGCCAGCAACCATACTTTCATTTTGTGGAAATGTAGGTGGTGGAGATAGAGGAACGCTATGACAGAGAATGCATTCCTCCCATTTATAGCAATCGCATTCTTCATTATATCCAAAGTGTTGGAACAGACAAAACATGTACCAGGAGATTGACTGTAAGTCCAATTGTTTGAAGTTAATTTCTTAATTACTTTCCATTTTTTCTTAGTAATTATTTTTTAATTACAGTAAAATGTACATTAATTGGCTGTTATCAGGTTCCAAAGCACATGAAGAGCCCTGTTTTCATCTATTATCAGCTCACTGATTTCTACCAGAACTACCGCATGTGAGTATAAGATTTTCTATATTGTAGATTATGCAGAATGAGCCCTTTCTTTTCTTATTAATACGCAGAAGGAGCTATGATGCCCCTCTTCTTTCATTCTTTTTTTGATGTATTTCTCTGGTTCATAAATTAAACTCTTCCGAAATAAATATCGGAACAATCAAAAGATTTTCCTTTACGTACACTAATGCAGAATCCAGGACACCAGTTGTTTACAATACAAAGGTTACTTCATCATGTCATTATCCTCTGCTTCACTTCTAAGATTTCTTAATCTTTTCCCTATATGACTTTCGAAAACCTACTTTCAGATATAAAAGTAGTCGAAGTGATTTGCAGCTGAAGAGCAAAGCAGATGAGAGCAGTGAATTAGAAAACTGTGGGCCAGTACAAAAGGTGGGCGACAAGCCAATCGTTCCTTGTGGCCTTGTTGCATGGAGTATGTTTAACGACACGTATAGTTTTTCTGTAAAAGGCAAGGCCTTGATAGTCAACAAAATGAACATAGCATGGGAAAGTGACAAGGAGGGTAGATTTGGATCTGATGTGTATCCAAAAAATTCCCAGACTGGGGGTGTGATTGGAGGTGCAACCCTGAATTCGAGCATACCTGTATGTATATTCCTCCTCTGTGTGAACTGAAAGAATATTTTAAGGTTTTTGATTCGTCATTATGAGTAATAGCCATTGTTGGTTCTGCACGTAACAGTTAAGTGAACAAGAGGACCTTATAGTTTGGATGCGGCCAGCAGCACTGCGGAATTTTAGAAAACTTTATGGAAGGATAGATGTTGACCTTGAAGCTAATGAGGAAATTAAAGTTGAAATAAAGAACAATTATAACTCATATGGTTATGGGGGCGAGAAGTTGCTAGTCCTTTCTACCACGAGTGCATTTGGAGGGAAAAATAAGTTCCTTGGCATTGCATATCTAACTGTTGGTGGATTTAGCTTTCTCTTCGCCATAGTCTTCGCGATTATTCATCGCTTCAAGCGAAGGTGAGTTAAATGGTCCAAAGTCTGTATTCATTAGCGTGAACGTATCCAGATAAATATTGTTGCAGAAAATTCTTTGCCAGTTTAATTGATCAGTAATGCTATTATGAGTTGAATTTCGTCCGTTTTCATGCTAGAACGTGCTGGATTAAGTTGAGCCCCAAGCAGGACTTGGAATTTCCTTGGAATAAAATTATTTACTTATAAGTTTGTGTTTGATTCTTGTTTTAATTTCTGTTTGTGTCTGCTCTTTCTGCAGGGATATTGGGGATACTACATACTTGTCTTGGAACAGATCTCCAGTAGGATATTATATAAAATAAGAGCGTTTATTAGGGCATTAAAGCATTCACTAATTAGTCCATCCAACCTCTCGGAATATCCCTGGAATAGGCTTCATTGCTTTATCAGTCTTCTGCATATTTTGTGTGCAAGAGCTTCCACTGACAGAAGGATTCAAGATGGATTTGCAAGCACCATCAAGCTGGATGGAAATATTTTCATGGTCAAACATATTTTGCAAGTATCAAATTCTATACCTTTTGGACCTGACACTGAGGGCCATGCTCCATAATTAGAAGATTTTTATAAACTTCTGTTGTCATCATCTTTTTCCAGACATTAGAAATCGTTGAGTGATTATGCTTTGAGAAGTTTTTAATATGTTAGTGAAGTTCCATCTTGATGATACAATTCTCTGTTCCTTTAGACACTATATCCTCTCCTCTTTCATTTCATTTTCATTTTTTACCACATTAAAATCAAGAAAGAGCACAAAGCCGATTCTGATGGAGCTGCAAATAGGAGCAATATTCGATTATTTATATGTTTAGCTTATAGTCACATTTATCCCTTCATGGGGCTGGCAAAGAAGCTCTCAAAGAGAAACATCTAGATTTATCTCTGTTCAACACCCCTGCTAATATTGGTCAAATTAAAGAAAAAAGAACACCCTCCAATAGAACTTGAAGAACTCAATTGTCCATCATTGAAGCCCTTGATATGTCAACCTGTAGCTTCTCCGAGATGTTGACTGCATTAAAGCCAGATTTGCTCATTTCAGATTTCTTCAGACATGGGTTCTGGCAGAGGCTTTATCGCTCAATATTGTGACCGTTCAGTTCATGGTTAGTGGCACCATGCTGTATTTTCTTCAGCTTCACGCCTTGAGATGTCAGGAGATACTCTTCTCCTCTTGCTGTCTAATTACATACATGTGATCATGAAAATGATAACATTACACTTAAAAGAACGGATTCTTCGGTGTCCGGAAGTGTCCTCTTATCTAATGTTGATTAGAAGCCATAAAAAGAACCGAGGAAAATAAAAGTAGATGAACTCAGTTACAGCCATGAAGAAGGTTGTGCTAGTTTATCCACTAGTTCAAGACCTTAGTGAAGAACAGAAATCACAGAATGGCTTAACAAGAAAGACCCATCTTCAATCTTTGGAAATAAATACCTTAGTTTTACCCAAATACCTAAAAATACCTAAATACCTTATCGTAGCATCTTCAATCATTTTTTTTTACCCAAATACCTTATTTTTTAGCATATTTTAGACATAAATAATAACTCTAAAATATCCTATCTTCAATCATTTTTTTTACCCAAATACCTTATTTTTTAGCATATTTTAGACATAAATAATAATTCTAAAATATCCTAAAAATCTAAATTATCTCATTTCAAACCTCAGAATACTCGAGAGTCAAGAATTAAACTAGATTTAGAAAATATTTACAAATCCTAATTTATTTTTTAGAAAAATGTTAATTATAATGTGAGAAACATGTCTAGATTTACTAGTTAATTAAGAAATCTATTTTTTTGTAGTTAAAACTAGCTTGTATGCCCTTGCAGCATCGAGGGTTATTTTAAAACTAATTTCTATTTAATTCTATGGTGATTAAAATAAAGTAGGAGTTTGACATATTTAAACTGTATTTGATAAAAATGTATTTTTTAAACTTAAAGAAAACATTCTTTATTTATGTTTTTTTTTATGAGAAACACCTTCTTCTATTAAGAATGTTGTTTTTTTAATAAAAATCCAAGATAATTCCAATAAAAATTCACAAGAATTAAAAATTCACAAGAATCTCAATAATTTAAATAAAGGAGTGGGAAAATTATTTTTAAAGGCAAAACTTTCATTTTTTTATTAATTTAGTTTTGTGAAAACATTTTTTATTTGTAGCATGTTTTTTAAAACAAAAACTCTGTAAGTTTCAAACAAAAAAAAATGCCTTGATAAATTTTATACGGCTATATGAAGCCCATATAAAAATTAAGAATCAAAAGATTTAAGTCCCACTGAAAATTAATATCTTTTTTTTTTCTTCAAATTAATGCATATTAGCGTCTATTTAATTGTTAAAAAAGTTATTTAAAACAAAAGCCTACAAGGTACAATCTCATTTAAAAAGTATGAAATAATCGGATGATTTTTTAAATATTATTATAATTGAATGATTTTTTAAAAATATTATTTTTTATTTTTGCATGAATATTATGTTTGTGTTTTTATCGATAAATAACTTCACCGGTTAAATTATGAACGGACATGATACATCTGACGAGAAACTCGCCGACAATAAATTTTCATCGGGAATACGACTGAATATTTCATCCTTGAAAATCAATTTTCAGATCGTGGAGGAAGTCAGATTCTTCACTTCCCAGTTATTTACAAACAAAAGTCTTCCAAATGAATTTATTTCAATGAAACGGAACTCAAATCAGTTTCAACATTAGTCCCTTCAAATCATTCATGGCGTGTGTGCAGAGCGTATGACGTTCGCCATCGCATCATCAAGATCCATTGTCTATCGCCCATCATCTTTTGGCTTGCTCATGAAACTCTATAAATCTTGGTTGTTACAACTTCCTTCAATATCTGTATCCGTTTTCTTGTAGTATGAAAAAGCACAAGGTCTTTAGAATATTTTCAGAGGAAGCTAGCCTCAAATGGAATTTATCATGCACACAACTTATTTGGTGTTTTGCCTGCATGGTGGTGTATACACAAGTATGGGAGTCCGGTTTTCCGATCTTCAATTTCAGCTGCTCAACTGCTGAGTAAGGAAATCCATCATGAGCATTTTTGGTATAAAAAATATACTTTTTATGATCACATTATACTTTTTATACAATATACGTTTTACAAATTTATAGTGGATTTTTTTTAATTTTTTTAATAATATAAATATATATACGTATATTTAAATTAATCCTACGAACTCTAAAATTTATAAAATTTAAATTAATAATTTTTAAAAAACAAATCTAAAATATTATAAGTAAATTATATCCCTCCATATTATATAAAGTTTTTAAAACTTTTTGATTATTGTTATAATTTAATAACAACATAGGGAATTAATGTAATTTATCCAAATTAAAATAAAATTTGATATGTTTATAACAATATATTCTTTTGTATTTGATGAAAAATATGTGTAGTAAACCAAAATGTATACAATATATCCTTATCGTAGCTTAGTTTACTTATTAAAAATCAAAGCAAATTAAGATGATAAATTAAGAAGCCTTCCATTCTTGGCTTGAACAACTCGCGATTTCTTACCTATATAAGAAAAAATAGTAGTCTTTTTGGTCTAATTTTTTGTTTAATAATGAAACTGTGACTACTTTTATAGTTTAGGGACTCGCTTGTGCTTTATATGGTAGTTCTTATCACGTGATTTGAACATAAAAGGATGTAATTGGAACTTTACAAGAAGTTTGAGGATTTAATTGGTCTTGGAGGATAGGACTGTTGCCTCCACTAAACATGAGGGATCAGAATATACTTTAGTTCCAAAAAGCATGATTGTCAGAAGTCATAACAACTGTCCACCCAACAGCGACAATGGCATCATAGTGCTTGTACAGATTCAAAAAAGCAGTAAAATAAAGCCACACGGCTCACGGCGGGGTCGTCCGGTCGGCTACTGAATTGAAATTGAAAATTATAATAATTATTATTTTTATTTATATATTAACTTAAGTTAATTTTTTAATTTATGATTTAGATTTTTGCTCAAGTTGGTCTTTGGAGTCATGATTTATAATTATAATAATTACTATTTTTATTTTTATAGTAACATAAAAAATATAAATTAATCCTTTTATCTAATCTTATTTCCAGTCGAGTTTTGAAACTAGTCTCAAACAGTCTCACCAAAACCCCATTCGAGTCAAGTCCTGAATCTTTAAAAAACTCTCAGATTAACAAAACTTGTAGACAACGGTAAGCCTCAGAATTAACAATCTTTGAGCCACTTGCTTAAGCAAAACCTTAGCTTGCCAGGATAAATATTGTCATACAATATGCTTGGCCTTTGTTTGTGATATATTTAACGTATTCTATAATCAATCATCTTTCTCCTGGCTAGTTGCTCCATGGTATTAACTATGGAGAAACTAAAGTTTTGTGTGCTTGCTTTTTCCCTCCTTGGATTTTATGTCATAGCTAGGGAAGAATACATGTCTGCAATTGGAGATCCTGGAATGAGAAGAGACAGCCTTAGGGTGGCAATTGAGGCATGGAATCAGTGCAATGAGGTTGGCAAAGAAGTTTTTGGCATGGGAAGTCCTAGGATGGCAGATTGTTTCGATGTAGATAATTCAACATCACAAGGTGCTGTATATATATTTTCTGTTTTACTTTACCAGATAAAACTCATAAATTCTACTTTGGACTTGAGTCTATTTCTTTTTATTCCTCGCTGAGGTTACGTTTATGATCATGACTGTGAAATGCAGTAAAGCTTATTCACATGGTAGACGAAAGAGACAACAAGCTTGGCATTTCAGATGGTTCGTATGGAGGCATTAATGCCTCAAATGTAGATGTGTATGCAGCTAATAAGGAGATATACTTGGGTGATAAATGCCAAGTACAGGACAATCCTAGACCATGGCAGTTTTGGATGATCATGGTCAAAAGCGGAAACATGGACACACTAGCAGCTACGTGTCCCCAAAATGGCAAGAAATCGACGCCGTTCCTACCAGAACCTGGATTTCCATGCTTCAGCCTTGGTTGTATGAACATGCCCTTGATGTACCATAACTATACCAGTCTGCAAAGGGAAAATGATAGTAACTTGAAGGGAAGTTTCTACGGGACGTGGGACTTAAATGTTGATCATGTTTCAAAGGCAGCAGTGAGTAATGGCACTTCTTACTTCAACATCACTTGGGAAAAGGAGATTGGTAAAGGGAGTTGGGTGTTCCATCATTTCTTGAAGACATCATCAAATTATCCATGGTTGATGTTATACTTGAGGTCGGACGCCACAGAAGGATACTCCGGCGGATATCATTACGAGACTAGGGGGATGTCCAAAATAGTAAGCATCTTTTCCTTCCAATTTAATCTCTAGAATCGTGGCAATCAACATCCAACATCTTACATGTACCTAAAATTAGCGTGGCTTGCTAGTTTGGAGTTGTGAGTCGTGGAAAAAAAACACCGTCGAACTAACAGAAAATGATGCTGACGACATAAAATTATAAAATGGCTAGAGAACATTATGCTTCTGAGGCTCTTCTTGTGAAGGATACCACCTTATTTTCTTGCACATCATAAACATCCTTCAGGTTCCAAAATCACCAGATTTCAAAGTGAAGTTCAGACTAGAAGTAAAGCAAGGAGGTGGTCCAAATAGCCAGTTCTACCTCATGGACATAGGAGGGTGTTGGAAGAACAATGGAAAACCTTGCGATAGGGACGTGACCACAGACGTTACACGATACAGTGAGATGATCATAAACCCTGAAACAAAATCTTGGTGCAAACCAGAAAGTCTCAAGTTGTGCCCACCTTATCACTTCTTTTCAAATGGAACCAAGATCCACAGAACCGATAAGGAGAACTACCCTTACGATGCTTACCACCTCTGGTGTGCTCCAGGCAATGCTGAGCATGTAGAAGAACCATATATTCCATGCGATCCATATAGCAATCCTCAAGCACAAGAGATACTGCAAATTCTCCCCCATCCTATCTGGGGGGAATACGGGTACCCTGCAAAGAAGGGGGATGGTTGGATAGGGGATCCAAGAACTTGGGAACTCGACGTGGGCAGGCTGTCTCAGGCACTGTACTTTTACCAGGTACATTATCTCGTCTTTCTTCTAAGATGGCCTCTGGTCTGGGATGCCGCCAAGCTAGGAATTGCTTGCTATTTTATAGGCGTCTTTGATGTGATGCAGGATCCAGGCACTAAGCCGGTGGAGAGACACTGGTCATCGATTGACTTGGGAACTGAAATATACATCAGCAGCGATCAAGTGGCAGAATGGATCGTCAGTGACTTCGACATTGTTGTTCCAAAATTAAGAATGATCGATGAGTAAGAATGCAAAATGCCCGAGGAAGAATATTATAGTCTAGCTTCTTGAATTTCGTCAATGTTTTTAGCCTGTTTCTTTAATAGTACTGCCCTCGTTGGCAGGCACAATGCCACTCACCCACTCATATCAGCCTAATATTTTCCCTTGCTGAACCATGGTAAAGGAGAAAAAACCAAAATATAGAGGCAAATTGTACAGAAACAAAAGGCCTGAATGCCAAAATTCAACCTAGTTGATATGTACAGCTCTCTTCTAATCGGCCAGGCATCACTTCCCATTTTGTTGCTTAAACGATATTAGTGATTTCCGACTAGAGTGTTCATCTAAACCACGGAAATTCTTAGGAATGCTATTTTTATTCTGACCAACGAATTGAATTACATAAGATGTCTAATTACACAGCACGACTAGATACAGGACGTGGACTAAACCCTTAAAACCTATCATTCTAGAAAAGACAAAACTACTCCCCCTCGAATTCTAGACCTAAATGCATTTGCATAATTCATCGTGATACCAACTCAAATAAAATAGACTTAAGTTAATCCATACTGAACAGTACCAACATTCCTATGAGCAGCTACAGCTACAGCAGCAGCGCCAACTGGACCAAACTGAGATTGTGCCTGCAGCAGTTTTGCATCAATAGCAATTCTCTCGTTTAACTGTTCCACCCTAGCTTGTGGTTGGCAATATGGGTTGGCGTTCACATCCATGGCCATCACAGAGGATGGCTTGGCAGCCATATTACACAGAGGAGGTTGCTGTTTGGTTTGTGAGTCTTTTTCAGGCTCAGAGAGAGACTTCTCCAGCACCATTGTGTTTGTCCTGAAGAAGCAGTGCGGAGAGACAGTCTGGGGAGGGAGAACCGAGTTTCTATAAAATATTCTTGAATCATAGGCATCTTTCACATTTCTGCCATTGTCATAGGGTACAGCCGCTCCCACAACTCTCCCTGGCTTTGCTGTGCAACCAAAAAAAAAAAATAAAGAAAATAAGGAGATGTTCAGTTGCCTTAATGGTTCACAAAGTAAGCTGGAATCCAGCCTGGGAAAACCAAAAATTCCAGGAAGCAGGATAAAATGTCTAGAAAGACATGTGGTGAAACAGTTCACAAGACAAATTATGAAACTAGTCTTTGCTTCCAGGCTCTTCAAACGAAAATTTGCTTTTTGCAGCAAGAAAATGGCATATATCTGCCAGGATAGAAACTAAATTGATCATGCATGGGGGGAAAAAAACAAGAAACCAGTCCTTCCATCAGTCACTATGTTATGATGATGACTCAACAATTCCCCCTACAGACCTTGAACATTCAGGTGAACCATATATTGTTGTAGTTATCAAGTCTATGCTTAACGAAAGTAACTGCTAAAAGATGAAGCCCTCCAACATCCAATTGACAGAGAAACAGCTTGCAGAGGCTTTAAGAGTCAAATACAAAAGTTCTTCACACATGTAGCCACTTGGCTTGAGTCATGAAAAAATTGCCTCTTTACAGAAAATAAGCAAAGTTGTACCTGATGGCACTCGCGGAGGGGGCCTTGCAACCTTTGCTGGATTTCCAAAACTTGCATCTGGTACTCTAAAATTTTTAGAAGTGTCTTCTGTAACTTGCCTGCTGTCAAATGAGGTTGAAGTTGATTGCATATTAGGAGGGATTGTGTTTGAGTGAACTGTAGACCTGCAAGCAAAAGAACAGATCAATAAAAAGAAATGCAAACAACATTTATGGTGGAAGATCACAAGCATTCTAGATAAAACAATACTCTATAACCTCAAAACAAATAGATCATAAACCATTTTATCATATCAATGACTCAGAGAGCAAAGGAAAAAATAATTGCAAAGCCATACCGTGGAAGTGAGACATGCTTCCTCTCTGGAGGTATCACTGGTCCACTTCTACCACTGTTTTCCTCGAGATATGCAAACTGCTTTCTAAATTGACCTATAGCACTGCATTTCAAAGTATAGCCAATGTAAACATAGACAGGAGATGGAAAAGGTAATTCCTACTACTCAGAAAAGGGTACGATAAGCTATACTAAGGAAGAATTAGTACCTAGGATAGAGAAAATTAGTGCTGTCATTTCCATTCATGTAGTCTTTGAGTAGCTGTGGATGGTATTCCAGTATTTCACGGTATAGCAGTTCCCTAACATCTTCCTTTGTTACCCTTCTCCTTTCAAACTCAAACTCCAGCTTTGAGATTGGTTGACAGGATGGTTCTCTCTCAACTTTAGCTAAGCCCTTAAAGTAAGGGTCAGCTAATGCCTATTATATAAAACTAACATCAATCAGTAAAGCAGAAAATAAAAGTAGGGAGTGACAGAAGAAGCTCCATTCATCTATCAACAAGAATTGAATGCCAGGACACCATTCTTATAGAAGTAAATAAGACAAAGAACAGACCTCTTCAGCAGTCGGTCTATCTTTTGGATCAAATGCTAGTAGCCTTTGCAGTAGCCTGAGTGCCAACGGATCTACATTTGGAAATTTCTGTGCAAATGGAACAGGCTGTTTTTTCCTCATTTCAGTCAGGTATTTCCTTGCCTTGTCATTCCGTACCTGCATTTTAATCCGATACAAATTACCATCAACAACATGAAAGGGAAATGTTATAACAGACTGGGAAAGAAGGGAGGGGAAGAGAAAAGAATCATACTCCAGAAATGGTTTCTGATGAGGGCGTCCCAAGAAGGTCGGTAATTAAATCCAATTGATGAACAACACTTTTACCCGGAAACAATGGCTTCCCTGTCAATACCTCAGCAAAGATGCAGCCAATGCTCCAAATATCAATTGCTGGCGTATACTGCACACAAGTGCAAGCACAAAAAAATTAACAAGCAGCATAATAGAGATTCATAATGCAATTAAACCACTCCAGAGAAACAGACATAACCTGACACAGTTTACCTGAAAGACAGATATTTCAACTTCCAGGAGAGTTCATAGTCCTCCCTGAACAACAATTATTTTAATCTAGGCATTACTGCTTACTATAAAGCACTCAATCATTTTATAGAGAAGTAAATATTTTGCTTCAATATTATGCTGTAGCTCATAACAAGGACAACCCATTGTACTATATTTTCCTTTAGCTTAATATCCCAAAAGCTTGTTGTGAAAATAAAGAAATACCAAAAAGCTATTTTTTATGTTGGACAATAACATAATATCAGAGTTTTATTCAACAAAAGAAATAACCATAGCATTAACTGAAACAAACTACCATTGTAAAGCAATACTAATTATAAAAGCATCTAAGAACCAAGCACCAGTAAATTACATGTGAACCTATACCAAATTGTTGGTCCACTACAGCATAGACCATGTTCCAACCAAGTTGGCTCTGGAAAAGAAAGGCCACACATGGCAGATATAAGACATACCTTTGAAAAGAAAGATCCGCACAGCTCCGGCGCTCTATACCATCTTGTAGCAACATAGTCCTGCAATATGCATTCATTAATGTAAACTTGTAAACTGAGAGAAACAGGAAAAACTGGTATTTGTGATACAAAATGCTGAAATACATACCGTCCAAAAAACAGTTGTTGGTGTATCACTAAATGCTACTCGTGCCAGCCCAAAGTCACATACTTTAAGTTTGCAATTTGCATTTGCCAATATATTCTTTGGTTTGAGATCTCTATGATACACATTTGCTGCAGCCAAAAACCCTTAGTTCAGAACACAGGTAGACCAAATTTACTTCAATTTAAAATTTTAAAAATAACAGCAGCATTTACATAAGATGCTGACTAGTTAGATAGGGACCCTTCTGCTACTTGAAAGGTTTAGATGGCAAGTTTTGACTCAAAAGTTGAAAGAAAGACAGAATAGATAAGAAAGAAAGAGTCACCTGTATGCATATATTTCAGGGCTCGTAACATCTGATAAAGAAAGAACTGATGGTGTTCCCGTGTCAAGTCATCATTAGCTTTGATGACTTGGTGAAGATCAGATTCCATGAGCTCAAAAACAACAAATATGTCTTTAAATTCTCTCTTTGAGGGTGGCAACATGATTCGCTTGATCTCAACAATATCTGGATGCCGTAAAAGCCTAAGTAACTTGACTTCTCTCAAGATTCGAATAGCATCAGAAATATGCTCAAAAACATCATTGATTTTCTTTATTGCCACCTTGTCTCCGGTATGAGTGTCAATTGCCGCACAAACAACTCCATAGCTTCCCTTTCCAATAACTTCTAGAATCTTGTATCTATTGGCATCCCCATACTCGGTGAAAAAGTCAATCTCTTTTAAGTCCTGAAAAAACACAAAAATTTTCAAATCTAATCATGCAATGATCTAGCTGCAGGGATTGAGTAGGTAAAGAGCATCTAGAAACAAATTAACAAACTAATAGAAAACATGTACACCGATGGATGTACCCGAGAGCCTCCGGTAAAAAGAGGAGAGGGAGAGGGGGGCCCCGGTAAAATGATGGTATAGATAAAGCATTTATTATGAATTATACATCAGATTACAATTTAATACAAGGCTCGCAATGCACTGAAATTTTTTTTGAAGAACGAGCTGAGAGAAGATTTCACTAATCAATACACGGGAAAAACAATAGGGAAGAAAAGTGAGAGATGAATGGTAGAGAAATTGCGCAGCATCAACTTTAGGGAACAGAATCAGGTTCCAGAGTAAAAATATCAAGAAAAACTCCTTTATTTTCTGAAGGGAAGCCACATCAGAGAAAATCAGAACCATTTACCCAACCATTAAGGACTAGGAACCAATTTTTCAAACATCTAACCTAAAATCAATCAATTAGGTTTTTCAAAGTTTGGAAATGGGGAATTTCAGCTTGGATTTGTTTCGACAAGTATTAAGACAGAACTGAAAACACGTTATAATCCCAAAGCAGAAAGGCTAAAAACAGATCGTACATCTGCATATAAGTAACACAAGCAGGTAAAATCCTAGTTAAAATGTATCTAGAACATCAATAACCTAATCTCACCAGGTACTTATAAGTGGCTTTAATTTTCAAAATTTAAAACAAATCATCAACAAATCCAAAGAGTTAAATTAG